CCTCTTTCTCACAAATGGTTTTGTCAAAACTGCGGAAATTGACAATAAGCTTTTAAAATGTTTAGGTATGTAAAATAAGTGTTAATAGTAAGTTATAGCTATTTACCTTGAATATAAAAAATGATTATAATAAGTTAATATTTGTAATATTTGTAGTTTGTAGGTCAACAGTAAAAGAAATTGAAGAAGAATTAGCAAAAATTGATCCTTCAAGAGAAATTGAGATAGGAAATTATAGATTAGATGCACAAGGAAATGCTATTCATAAGAAGGTAATAATAAATTTTTATATTTCTTGGATTATAATCAAAACATATTTCTACTTATTTATTTAAAGATTCCACTTGCACAATCTGAGGTACATATATCTGACATCCTAGATAATATTTGTGAAAAAATGTCAGACTATGTAAGAGCAACATATAAATCAAATGGTCAATTAACAATCTTAAATTTAATGAGTCCATCTGGTAGTATGAATCCTGAAATGAGCAAAGTTGATATTATTCAGGATGGCGATTTAAATAAAAGTTTAAAATATTATGTAAGTTTTCTCTTTTTATTTATACTTCATAATAGATTTTATCAGTTACTATTTTGATGTGCTTTATTTCAGTGTGAGGGAATAGTGGAAGAATTTGAAGACTCTATGATTTCACTATTTATTCGCAAAGAAAATGATATTGAAGAACAATTATGCACAAATGTTTCAAAGCTATGTAATTCTACAGATCTTAATGAGGATGATGAAGATAACGAGGAAAATGATATAAATGAAGAACATTATGAATTATAGTAATGTATAGGGAAAAATGAGATACATTTGTATCTATATATATTTTTGATATTCAAAATTTTAAAAATTAAATATACTATTTATAATGTAGCATATCTAGAACAGGAATAAACTACAAAAATATAAATAAAAATGTTAAAATATAAATTCACTTTTCTAGGAAAGAAATGCGCTTATATGCTAGGTATAAGTAACAAATGTAAATACGTACTTTAATAACAAAAGACAATATTTATTAAAAGTATTTATTAAAACCGTTATTTTATTTCATTGATTTCCCGATAGAGAGCGCACTGATCGACGAATCAAATACGTAGGGGTTCTAAGAAATCGTTCTGTGAGTTACGGTCATTTATACCCAGGCTTCTGTGCGCGATTGTTTCGTCTTCGTTCGTCGCCATCATTACGAAGACGAAAGAGGTTGGTTTCATTCATTTTCGTGTGGCAGTGTCATTATACGAAATCCAGCACAAATGAAGATGGTTGATAAAATAGACATGAGTCTCGACGATATTATCAAGCAAAATAAAGGAACAAGACCACGCGGCGGCAGTAGCAGACGTGGAAGAGGTGCCGGTAATTCACCACGTAGAGGAGCACGGAGAACCCAAAGAGTTGGTGGTGGCGTCATGCGGGGACGCAATCGTGGTGGCATTACAAGAAATTCTCTTCCATACACAAGAGTGAGAAATCAAATTATTTATTCTTCTTTCTATTATTATCGTCATTATTAATGTTATATTAATTTTGTCACGTGTACCGTATATGAGAACCTATCGTATTACTTCCGCCTTAAGTGCTTATGTATGAAACAGTTTAATCATGAGATAGATTAACGATCGTATTTTAAGGTAAAATAATTGTGTAAGATAGAAACGTGATTCCTGTGATTCTTATACTGTTCAGATGAGGAATACTTTACGTATTTCGAGGGAGTATTCAACTTAGGATTTTTCGGAAATGATAAAAGTCCGCGCTTTTATGGTGGGATGTTCGTTAATTTTAAAGACGACCATGTGTATTTTTTACATATTCAAATGCTAATGGAATAGCATGGAATAGCTTATTATATAAAATAATGTGAAGTGTTTAGTAAAAATATATATATGAAATGTTTTTAGTTTTAGATGTAATTGTTATAGATTTAGTAATTTTTTTAGTTTATAAAAATACACATGCGACTAATACTATGTCCTTAAGTATTGCAAGATACCACAAATTTTGTACAGTAATAAATAATTTTCATTCATAGGGTGATGTAAACAGTGCTTGGAAACACGACATGTTTGATGGAGTAAAAAAGGTTGGCCGAAGTTCAATAGGTAGCGCAGGGACAACCAAGCTCCTTGTATCAAATCTAGACTTTGGAGTATCCGATTCAGACATTCAGGTACTTTTTATTATTTCACACTGGAACTACCGACATTTGAGATGTAGTTATCTCTACCAAAACCAGGCAAAATGACCGGTCTTTAAAAAATACGTAATAGTAGAATATTTTTATATTTATTAATTTATTATTACCTTGCAAAAGGAACTCCATGTTCTGAGATAAAAACTATATAATAACAATAAGTACAGTAATGAAGGATATTTAGTACCAAGATCTTTGGTAACAAGAATGTTAAAATAAATTTCCATTGGTAAATATAAGAAGTATAATATAATAATATAATAATAAGCATAACGGAATAAATAAAATACAAATATAACTTAAATTATTAAGTACAAAACTTATCGTTCGTCATATTTCTTACAAACGTAAAAGTTCTTCCGCGTGTACCTTCCGCATACATATTTTTTTATAAAGATTGCAAATGGCGGTGGTCTTATTATTATTATTACAGTACCCTATCTGACGCCATTTGTGTGAATAAGGTGAGTTCTTTGACGTACTTTGGATCTCGGATGCTCTTTGTTCTATCCATAATTTTTCATTGTCAGCGGAAAGTTCATCTGCTAATTGAAAAATAAAATCTTTTCTGGATATCTGCTCACCTGTGGTTTCCTTATATAAAATCCAGGCATTTATGCCAGCTAAATCTAAAATATTAAAAAATACTTGAAGTGTCTGTCTTCTTGAACCCGACTTCATACCATATTTTTTCGCCATTTAGTCTGCTATATCTACCCCAAATTTTGTTTTATTATAAAATTCGACCATTTCAGGTAGGCCCTTTTCGTTTTTTCCAATTTTGTATAAGTAGCCATGATACAAAATTACTCTTATTTTTGAATGAATAAAACAAAATTAAAGTTTATTATATTATTCCTTTAGCTATCCCTGTAAAAGTCATTACGTCATTGTGGAGAAGAAATATAACATGAAATAGAAATTTTAAATAAAGTTGTCAAACCAGCCATTTTGACTGGTGTGGTAGTTCTAGTGCTCCAATATTACTTCAAATTCAAAAATTAGATAAATTTTCAGTCTCAAGTTCATAAAAATCATTTAGCTTTTTCATTTTTAAAAAGTTACTATAAAATTGCAATAATCTATGTATTTGTTTGTTCTAGGAATTATTTAGTGAATTTGGCCCCTTAAAGTCAGCAGCAGTACATTACGATAGATCAGGTCGATCATTAGGGTCTGCAGATGTTATATTTGAAAGAAGAGCAGATGCTATTAAAGCAATGAAACAATATAATGGCGTACCCTTAGATGGTGTGTAGTTAAATTTGTGTCTGTACTATAAGTTTTGCTTTGAATGTCTCTTTTTAATTATAAAATTCCGCCTATATTTAGGGTTTCAGTATCACTTATTAATCTGGTCTCCAGTTTATACCTAGCAACATACAGTTTGAGCATTTTCTCTTTTATCCTTCCATAAATACTCCAACATGGGATGACATTAAAGAAAAACAAATTTCAAAGAAGTTATTGTGAATTATGATTTGCACAACTATTCACATCTATTATTGCAATATGTGGTATACATCGGCAGGTCGTGAAATGAACATACAAGTTGCTACCTCTGAAATACCAGTCACATCTATCCGAGGAGGACCGAGACTTAGCGGCAGTAATTTTACACAGAGACCTCAGTCCCGCTTTAGGGGTAGCCGTGGAGCAGGATCCGTCAGAGGTATGTAATTGGTGTATATTAAAAATGAGGTGAATGAGTTATCAAAAAGTACATTAATATTTACTTTTTTAAAGGTCGTGGAACTGGTCGACGTGGTGGCAGAGGCGGCAGTCGGCAAGTAACGAAAACTCCTACGGCTGAAGAATTAGATGCAGAACTGGAAGCTTATGTGAAAGAAGTAAAGTAACAACGTCACAAATCTTCGCACTTAAGATTTTGTTCTGATCTGACTTAACACAATACAATGTGTTTCTCTAATTTTCACGAGAATATATAAAAATAAGTATAAATATATCATTAGCAAAATGTTGTAAGAAATTCTTTTTAAGTGGGTATTTTTTATTTTTGACAGTTTCTTTGAAAATTGGCGTACAATTTTTACAGACACTTAAGAAAAATGATTTGTAGGAGTTCATAGATTTTTTTATGGTATCGTAACAAGAACAAAAAAAATAATAATAAAAAGTTATAATGTAAAGACTGTATGGATTTGTATGTACTATCGTGCGTGTGTGGTTATCAGATGAAAAATACAGTAAAATTCATCTTTACAAGTTGTTGTTTATCTAAGTACAGAAGTGCTTCTAGCCCACAATCTAATTAGTTCATATGAATAATTAACTATCAAAATATTCAAAACCTATCTTTGAACATAGTTTATATACTGATATACGTGTATCACTATGTTTAGTAGCATCAGATCTTTGTAAATTATGTTTAATGAATTGTTTTTTACCATGAATAATAAAACGTACGCACCACTATATGTAGCTAATAGCTTCTAGTGGAATAAGGCTGTGACATACTGTTATCGTCTAGTCATCTACTAATGAAATATTTTACTGCGCAGTAATGGGCTTGTAAGGCAATGTACATGGTTTTATTCATGCAGCATATGAATGCCAATGCCAGTGGTACAAGACTGAAGCAAAGAAACTGATGAGCCATTACCTAATAAAGAATAATGTTCTTGAAAATGACCATCTTCATTTCTCGCCTAATCAAAGATTTATGTTTAATTTTCTTAAGTATTGCAGAAATAAATTTCATTTAAAAAGTATACAAAATTAGTGCATAATTGCAAATATTAAAGTAGAAACAAAACTTTTATTTGAAGAACACTTTTTATTTAATTTAAATAGTCACATGAGGTATCATTTTGTACATATGTAAAAATATTCGCTAATAGATACCACAGAGTGGACTATATTATTTTCCACTCCTGATTGTAAAGTAGATCACTACAAAGTTGTACTTGTTTGTATCTTAGGAAGTCATTTTTAATGCTTCTAGAATTATTAATTTTCTAAATACTTAATAATAAGATCAGTCGAGTTTAGATAATAAATTTTTACTATGCAATAATTGTGTACAATATGAGGCAATGTTACCACACCAGTGTTTTAAATTATAAAAGATAGATAAATTGTGTTGATTTTTTTATAATCTTTTGAGTGTCCTCTTCTTGTCTTTCAATATCTTTTTCTTTTCTGCTGATAGTTTTTTATCTCCTGCATGCTTTTTTGGGAGGGGTCCTCCGACTTCAGAGGATGTGCAACTATCCAGACCTGCTTTGCTGCCTTTCCCGCCTCCCTAAAACATAAATGTATTTTTCATTATTTATTATTATGTATGCGAAACTCAATTTTAATATATGTATATGACAACAGGTTTACCTGTGCATGTATTTCTGTCATCATTTTTGCTCGTTCGGAATAATCGTCATACCTTTCTAATAATAATTTACCAGCTTCTTCATTTAAAGCAGATTCTGCATTTGGCACTATTAAGAGACATTTTACAGTCTGCAAATATAAAATAGATATGTTAATTCAATAAATCCATTAAATATCTCTTGTATCAGTTATACCAATTAATAGCTTACTAGTAATATATGTTTAATTCCGAGATCTGATTTCCAATCCTTTTTTAAGGTATTGACACAAATTTCTCCATTTTTTGCAACATTTGGATGAAAAATTTTTGTAAGGAAAAATGCCTTTGGTGGTCCTTGAGGAAAATCTTTGCCAAGAGCTAATTTTACTCTGAAGAAACCGCCAGCATATGGCGTTCCCGCTAATATTAGGAAAATTTATACTTTTAACTTATAAACATTATAATATACACAAACCTCCATAAATTTTAATGAAACAAATATCCTACATGTATATAAATTTGTGAAATATGTAATGTTAAATAAAAACTTTCAATGACATTGAATTATATCTAAATAGATGTGAATATTAAAAGTTATATTATAGAATATATAGGTTTTTATTAGTATTATTTCTGTTGATCTATCAAGTTGATTATGCAAATAATATTTTCTCTTATAATTGATAGAAATAAAATTATATGTATATCTATATCTATATATATGTATGTATGTATGTATGTATGTATGTATGTATGTATGTATGTATGTATGTATGTATGTATGTATACATGCATAAATGTATTTAGGTGTGCATGTAAATCTGACATTTGGATAGGTTATACTTCAATAACTGTGCGATTTTTTATATAGTACATAATACTTCATTGAAATTTTGCAAGAAGAGTTTTTTAAATGAACTTTAATCTTACAGGGTCCTTCTATAATAGCTTGAATGTCAGTAACATCTTCTTCGTTTAAAACAACTCGAATACCCTCGGGTGGTTGTTCAGCTAATTCACTCATTTCTTTAGCTACACGTCGAATAATTTGTGGAGATAAGTTTTCGACATTTGATATCTGAAATAATAGACGGTGACAGATGATTTATTTATTTGAGAACGAAGATATATTCAGAGAAACCTGTCCCCTTAACCAGGACATAAACAAGAAGTACCGCTGTTAAAGTTCGCAGACAGAAATTAATACGTATCATCGAGTACTTACAGAACTCACAGCAGCCATATTTAGCAAATTTTGAATAAAGTTTCAATTAAACGCGTTTAGGACGCGATTGTTTGAAGTATACTGTTAGAAAATCTTTAACGTCACAACATCAGCACAGTATCGCCTGCAATAACCAACATTTTGAACTGATAGCCAATCGCGTGCGAGTTACAATAATCTCGAAACTAGAAGTCGATTCTTCGTCATTTCGTGTGTTTTCAAGCAAAAAGCATCCGGCGTCTCTGAGTTTCACCGAGGGCACATCACGATAATCAAATTAAAGAACAAAGAAATGTTTGAATGAAACGGAATATAAACCTAGATGATGTGAATAAATTGTAGTTGCATTGTACTATAACTTCGGCGTAGTTTCAAGTCTTTGTCGTATTATACTGTTTCTTCACAGCGAATTTGAATACTTTATTTAGTAGCCAGGATGGCTGATAGTGCAGCAATAGAAAGGGTAAGACTTCACATCTTTTAAAGGTTGAATATTTAACGTATGATCAATGCGTTTTATTGAATGTTTAATCAATGCCGGATTTTTGTATTATACCATGTAGTCTTACTATGGTAGAAAAATCAATGACAGTGACGCTCATTTTTGTCCTCAAACAACATAATCTCATTGCAGGAAAAGCATATGAAACAATTAAAACGTAGAATGGAATGTTGGCGTGAAGTAATACTTCCATTGAATTCCATTCTATTATGGGAACGGTCCTGGTACCCTGGCCTTATATTTGGAATTACAACCGTAACATTTTTGTGAGTGGAAATTTTAAAACATATAACCATATATATATTTTTTGTCATAAGTTATTTGTTTTATGTGTTATTTTTTAATACTATGAAAGAAATGCATTTTTTCCTTATCTCTCATTTTAATTGTTTCTTAACATTGACTTTAAAATAAAATATTAATATATACTATACTATACGTATTACTGTATCAGTCATTGATTATTTTTATATGTTACATATTTGTAAATAATTATATGTTAATATATATTTTACAATGTCCATAAAAATTTGCTTGTAGTCTAATATGGATGTTGGAACCTGCTATACTTACAATAATATCTGTAACCCTTCTTATATTGGCTTTGGTTGATTATCTTGTACCAGTTGTATTATCATTGCTGAGTCCTGTCAACAAATGGACAGGCCAGAAAGAGAAAAAGTTAAATGAGATATGTCAAAATTTATCTGTAACAATCTTACAGTTACAAAGTTTGTGGAAATTGTTGTTAAAAACACGAAATGATCGTCCCAATGTGGTGAGTTAAAAAGCTATCCTAGATAAAAGGAATCTTTGTTTTAGAAGATATTTATGTAACAAATATTAAGTGCAGCATTTACAAGAAAAATTGCTCTAAACTATTTTTTATCTTCTGCAGTATTATCCAGGCATAATACTTTGTCTTGTTCTTTGTATATGGATTGGAAGCACAGTTAATAACTTGCTTCTATTTTATATTGCAGGTAATAATTTTTTAATTAATTTATTTGATATTGTATTTTGTAAGATGAATGTATGAAACTTTGCTTTACTTAAATGTTACAGTGAGCGTCCTTTTACTTACACCAGGATTCAGACATAAGGGACGTGCGATGTCAGTTAGTATAGCATATGTGTGCGAATTTCTATTTCACGAAAGACAATCATAATCATCATTTTGTATGTGTTTTCCTCTGACTTTAACTACAATAAATTAATTTGTAATTTATTAATTCATAGTTAGGGATAACTAGCTTTCCAGCTTTTTAAACGTACAAGTACTGTAATATAAATTGTGTCTTCATCTATTTTCATCGTTTTATGTGATATTTAAGATTGCAGTTCGTTTTACACGCACTTTTATAATATAAATACACTTCCACATTATTCTCCATTCATCGATAACAATAAAATTATTTCATCTTTCATCAGACTTTATTTCCACGAAAGTGGTTACTTAAGTAATGAGATTTCCGTTAATGAGATTGGATTAAATGTTAGCGTTAATTTTATACTTTTATGAACATCAAATTTAAAATGTTTGAAAATGGCGGGTTAGTTAAATTAAATATCCGATGGCGCTAGTGGTATAAATAAGAATATTATATATACCTAATTTTTCGAAGTGGGAGTTGCTCATTTAATACTATAATTTATGTATAATTTATGTATATTACGAGATAAACATTACGACTGAAGCAAGAAATGCATAGCGTCATTATGTTGCAAATAATCGTCAATATGGATTCTTTGATAATCATTAGTAAACGGTATTTTACGTATCAATTCGTTTAGAGTAAGTTATTCAATATGAATATTAATAGTTTATATTAATTGTTTATATGTGCTTACAAATAAACGTTACTATGGTGAAACTCTCATAAATTACTTTTATATAAAAATTTATTGCAATTAATCGTTGCGTTTTGAAATATATCGCTCATTATGGATATAATAATAAAGCTAAATGAGCAAACAATAGGCAGAGACAGAATTATCAGGTATATAATTTATTTACTTCTGAAACATATTTAACCGCATTAAGAATAATTGATTTAATTGATATATATTTATTATACGATCTAAATTACTTTGAATTGATATAAATTTAATGGTATGTTTTACATAACCTAAATTTTATTATTTACCATTATGTTTAATGCTACTATTTTTCTCATAATATATTCAAAAATGCATATTATTAAAAATTTCATAAAAACCTGTATATTAATTTTCTACATAAAAGAATATACTAATTTTATTTAACAAATTTAGTACAATTAAAAGTAAATAGATAATATTAACATTGTATAATTACTTTTTAATAATACTTTTACAGATTGCTACAATATGGAAGCAGAGCTTATTGGTATTATGGTCAGAATATTCGTAGTACACAACATTCTGCAGAAGTCTTAAGAAGTTTAGAATATACATTTAGTTCCTTTAGAAAATGTATTTAAAGCGATATTTATAATTTTAATACAATTACTATCGATAATAACAGTTTATTCCCATTTTCTTTATAGTGTTACGCCTAGGGAGATGTTTGGACAGTTTATATTCTGCTTTAAAAATGATGAAATATCCAGATCTAACTATAAGAGCCACTTTGACACTATCAAAAATTGCCAATGCTCTATTCTTATTAACGGATCATATAATTTGGGTCGGCCGTGTGGGATTGTATAGGGTTAATATTGAAAAATGGAGCAAAACATCTAATAAGTATTGGTTAATGGGTATTATAATGAATCTAATAAGAGATATTTATGAAATCATAAAAATTTTTGAACATGAAAGAGAGAGTGTATTAACGAGGACATCGAAGTTCTCACATCATTTATGGAAACGATATAAATTACTCTGTCATTTAAGAAATCACAAAGATGTTGTAATGGATACAATTAAAAATGGATGTGACCTGTGTATTCCTCTAACAGCACTAGGTTTTACCAAATTTACCCCTGGAACAATTGGTATACTTGGTGTGATATCTTCAATTGTAAGTCTGTATACATTAACTTATCCTCTGTATAAATTAACACCAACTTAAAATTAATCAACATAATTATTTTTTATGTACACGAATACGATTACAAAGCATTTATTCAAATTAAAGGAAGTATATCATTAAAATTAAATTAATATTTTTTTTATGGATTTCCATGATTTTTATATATTTTTGATGTATATATTTTTACTGTGCGTCTAAAAAAAAACTATATGTTACTACACTGTGATACTTAAATAACTATTTTGTGACCAATTTTTTGCAAATTTTTAAATAAAGTATCCTGAAAGTAGCATAAAATACTATACATAAAATTGAGAAATCTGTTTTATATCATAAAATTATATTTCAGTAAATATATTTACATAATATTTACAATGTAACTTATCTCTATGTCATGTTATTATAAATAAGTTTATATTTGCAAACAAAACATTTTTTATAAATACATTTAATAAAAATATTCTATATAAAAATTGCTATATTCATTTGTATAAAAAATTCTTAAGCATTATCTTCTGTTAATATGGCTGGAGAGTTTATTGCGATAATTAATCCATATTTGTGAGAATAGTACATCAAGAAAATTCCCCACTTTCCACAAATCATAGACCAAATAGCTGATATCGTTGTACTTCCCCCAATGGGTACAATGGCTAAAATATCAGAAATATGTGTACGTGTTTACATTTACTTTGCCATATATATATATATATATATATATATATATATATATATAACTGTATTTTAACTGGAGATTAAATAATATACATACGGATCTTGTAATAAAATGTGAGGAAGAGATACCAAATTAGCGCAGTAGTTCCTGCTACAGTACTAACAAAACCAACAACATTTAAATTTTTCAATGTAGATGTGGTATGCCATCTTTCTAAAATTTCTTTTCCTTTAAGCCAATGCAGGTGAAAACAAACCGCAGCTAACACACCTATGTGATACGTGAAGTAAAGCAAGATTTTATTTATATTAATTTTGTGTTAAATTTATTATATAAAAATATCTCTTAGCATACGAATAACTCTTATGTACTATTAAGAATATGAAATTTCTGAAGTAATAATTTCTACTATTTGTAATATGTTTAAAAAATGAGCAGAGGGTAATATTCCTACAAATATTAGGAAAAATCTTGCCTAATTATTGAATGAAAAAGCATAGTTCCATAATTAAAACCATAATTATTAGAAGATAAATATGCACAGCAATAAAGAGGTAATTTTTATTTCGTATGTAATAAACGAAGAATATGGTTTGTTATTACTGTAAAATATTTGTCTGGTGAACTTTCGAATCGTTTGCTATTAATTTTAAACCATATTTAAGGTTGCAAAATTAGATAATTTATATAATAAGATGTTCATCATGTAACGCGTGATGCTAACCTGATAAGATAGACCAAAATCCAACGTCGAAATTCCCATACACAACAAAGAGTACAATAAATGCTGATATAGCAAAAATCATACCAAAGACGCTTATTATTAAATGTATTATAACACCTCGCGGCATTTTTAGGTTCTTGTAATTATCTACTACGTAGTGCACTAGCCGACTATATCACGTCATGCCTTGAGGAAACTTAGTTTGCTTGTGCAGATGCCCGTCTTGATATTTCAAATTGTACAAAATAAGCTATTGGTAATTAATAACAATATTTTTTACAATTATTGTATTAATGAAGTTTCAGAAGTATTTTATCGAACCTTATTCTCTAAGTTGGATTACATTCTAAACATTTGCGAATAACATTTGTGAAACATATGTAGTGAATAATTGGTGAAATTCATGTAACCAAATTTAATACCATTAAATGAGTGTCATTCCTTGATAAATCGATGCGCCATCTATCGAGGTTACGTGGAAACGATGTTTGCCAATTTTGCTGCAATATTTTCTCTGACTTTAGCGAAGACTTTACAATCTCATTTAGTTTATTTAAAAATTATTGTGGATAATATTATTAATATATTCGCGGAGAATATAATTTACAGATACTTCGTCTGCGTGTTCCGGTTGCGTAAAAATTCCTTTGTGATGTTTCATATTCGACAAGTGAAGAGAAATCGAGGTACAAGAATCCGATTACTTTTTACATTTGTAAGTTTTTTCTGCTATACCTACATATATGTAACATTGCGTAAACGATGACTTCACAAGTCTTTTAATTACCAAACGATAGATAAGTGTTTTCTACAGTTATTTGTGCAATGTAAAAGTTTCCAAATAATTGTGTCACTTATGAAAGCAGTAAGAGGCCTATTTTCACTGTGTACGTTGCGTATGTAGTAAATGTACAACAAATTTAATATAAATATAAAGAAAGGTAGAAAAATTAAATTATTTATTTTTCATAATCAAGGTCCGCGCAAGGATCTTTCGGTATTTTTGCATTTTTGGAAGTACTTGCCTTTTTCTTCTCGTGTTCTTCTATAATTATTGTCGCACCTGTACGACTGAAAGTATCTTGGTATATCGAAAGATCTCCGTGCAATAGTTTCGGTCTTATATAGCCGAGCACTATATACATTTAAATATATTTAGATGTATTTTAGTAATTAAAGTTGAAGTTATATTTAAAAATCTTTGTACTCGCTTCTTTTTGCCGTCACTGGAGGTGCAAGAACTTTTTCATCTTGAGCATTGAAATATAAATCATGAATATACGCTACTAATTCACTTTGCAGATCCTTTTCTTTGATCTCTTCCCCAACTTCTCTTGTATCGCGCGGAGCCTCTATACTTCATCATGTACCAATTTTTCAAGAAATCCACTATTTATTATGTCATTTCTATACGTTATTAGCTTACTAGGATGTCTATAGGTGACTTGATAAACAGATCGCAGTCTGTCGAGGATATGTTTACGAACCAATTGTTCAGCAGCTTCGTCCAATCGCGTAGGGATCGATGCTATACGAGGATCGATTTCTCCTTCTTCTATACGATCCGTAAAATAATCTTTGTGATATATTCTGAAAATATATGTAATTCCTGTTCCTAGATAGAATTTGTCCATCTGTTTGTAATTTCGATAATATATATCTTTTTTTCTTACATCTCAGCTGGTTGTAGCTTTTTCTTCCTAAAGTTGCGGCTATATTCCGTAGAAAAAAATTCGCACAAATCTGTCATTATGAAGTGGTAAAAAAATAAAAAAGAAAAAAGTAGAAAGAAAAACGCGGGAGACAAAAAAATTAGGTTATACACATATGATTCCGTCGGTTTGTACTTAATTGGTTATAATAACAAATAAATGCTAGTAATCATATGTCTCTTTTTTTTTACGCTGAATTTTTGGGGAAATTTAAGGGATTCGTATCTTTTTTTCTTATACATTAAAAACACGAGAATGCGAGCGAATAATTAACAATTGTATTCATATAATCGAATATTTGTACAATAAAATATTTGAGAAATCGATAGTGTCTGGTCGATGAGAGAAATTTTTATCATTCGAATTTATAATTTACAGTCCCCAAATCTTCTTCTTGACGAAGGTAGCGGTTCCAGATATTGTTGTCGATTTTTTATGTTACTGAGACCCATCTTGCTGATAGTATCCATGTATTCCGAGCGACCGGTGAAAGGTGTCTCCCACATAGAGAAAGATTCTGGAACTGCAAATGAATTTTCGTAATATTAAATTTTCATCGTTTAACTTCTGTTATCGTAGAAACATTCGCGAGCAGCAGCCTAATAACATTCTACAAAATATCTTTCCTTCGTAAAAATTGTATTTTATTTAGGAATCTTTTGTCGAGCAGGAACGTCTGCCGAAAAACGAAGTAGCATTTTTTGTTATAACAGTTATTGATCAATAATATAATATACACGCATACGTCTAGTCGCTGGTATTTAATATTCATGCCAAAAATATTAAATATTTTTTTTAGATTAAAATATAACACTTTTCCTCTAATTATATCCGTTTCATCTACAATGTTTGGAGATTTAAAAGAAACGGGAACATTCGAAAATATTTCATACCTTGGAACAAATTAATCGTTTTGGCTGGCTGAATATGCGGTCTTTCGATGGCGGTGTATCGAAATCTCGTTGGATCTCTGTAACCCTCCTTTATTTTCGTAACTTCCGCCGGAAAAGGTGAACAGTACGATGAGTCGACCGCAGCCTGTAGTTGTCTGTACACTTTGATAGGCAATCCTGAATTCATTCGAACGAGTTATTTGCACGATATCACGTTCCTTCGATGCCGGTCCATACCTCTCTTCGCGTAATCCGTTTTATAAATACTCTTCATCGTCTCGTCCATTGGCTCGCAGTTAGCGTCTAGCATAGCCTTCGTGAGATTCGTCATTTCACTGTTCACTTTCTTCAGTTGGTCCAGAAATTGTCGTTCCTTGTCAGCCAGGTATTTGTATCTGGATGCATTTTTTTAAAGTATTACTTTAAATTGCCATTCCTTCGCCACGGATAACGACGTCGAAAGTCGTGATTTTAATTAATTTAACGCGATTTTAATTTAATTAATTTGAGTCTTAATTTAACGAAGGATTATACAGCGTGCAGAATATTCATATTGTACAAATCACTTTGTATTTTCATTTTACTTTTACCTATCCTTATTACTCTGTTGGCCATGTTCGTCGCACGAACAATCCTCGGGATCGATTCTAGGGGTGTATAATCGAATTCCCGTACTCTTCGGTGGTTGTGCCGGTTTCGTAATAAGAGGTACAGGATACGGCCAATTAAAGTCACGATGAGTGATCGTGATAAAATTTTCCAACGCGGTGGTCATCGTGTATACCGGTAATTTAATCGCGAGTTAGAGCATACAATCAGGATTTACATGGGTCTCTGTTGAAAGAATATTCGTTTAAATGTACGATATTTCTTCGCCGTACGAAAATACAATTAACTCGTCAAAAATAAAAAAAGAAAAAATAGAGAAACAACAATTTTTCATTCGTCGAGGTTAACATTCTTTTTAAACAAACATTTATAATTAAAGGGAATATTTTGTAAAAGATTCTGAATTACGTCATACCTGGTTAATCTTCATTTTTATCGACGAAATCAACGGATTTCGAAGGAAAATTTGTCTCGGCAGAAATTTCTTCGCGAAAAAAAACAGCGACTAAACGTTACATGGCAATGGGGACTGAATCGATTCGTCGGTTCTAGTATTACGAAATTTCATCACTTTCCGGAACAGCCAAAGAATCGTTTCTTTGATCAGCATGATCGTGGCAATGACAGCTCTGTAAAGCGCGTAATGTAATATAGCGTTTAAAAACGTGATACCAATGTGCGCGATCACGGAATCGGTTGTTAATCTTAAATCGTTCATCTTGAAATTTGGGAATTATTTCGTCGTTTTAGTCGTTTCAAATGTTCGTGGACGTAATAAGCTTTGTATAATTCACTGGTGATTTATCGAAACTGACTCGTGTTCTACCAATCTGATATTTGATACAAACGATTCAGTTCGAAGAGTTCACGTTTATTAAATACTTTCAGGTAATTTCACGATGCCCGAAACGAGAGTAATCGATATGACAATTTTCATCGCTAATAAAAGTACGCATCAGGACGACATATCGTTGTTAATTATACACGAAATACAATACGTTTAAGTAGAAAATAAATTTGCATTTTAATACGAAGTCGCTGATGTATCGCTAAATTTTCGTTGAGGGGACGTTGTTCTCGAAATATGTTCGGATATCTTTTGTTCCGGTTCCTTGTTTTTCTTCTCGTTTTCCGTCTCAAACTCCTGATCGCCGGCAGGAGAGATGTTCGGGCACATTCGCGAGTCTAGGGACAACCGTTTCTTCATTTTCGCGCGATACGTATCCTTAGGTTGCTCTAACGACGAAAACAAGTGTTCCTGGGGGTTCAACGAAGTCAACTTCAAAAGCTTCTCATCTTGAGATAGATTGCATTTCCTCCTTTGAACGCGGCCCCTTGCCGTCGTAAAAATTGGCCTCGTCGTCTCCTGAATACACCCACAGTCCAACCGTGTGATCGTCGTCATTGTGCCACATGGCTCGAGATTCTGAATCGTCAGACAATTACAATGCAGTCGATCACGTATTAATCGATTAAATACGATTAAAATATATTTTAATATTTCCATTCCGTTAAACGCTACATTTAAAAGATACTCGTAACTACAGTGGAAATTTGATTTCGTTGTTAACTTATTAACCTTTCGGATATAGATGTACAAACACTAAAATCCACGATCTCAAACAAATTGTCTTTACTCTTCGTTTTTAATTTCATAATTATAAAGGTTTATAGTTAACAGATACGTTAACAGATGCAGTTAAGCATCGAACAACGAGTTTCGTAACGTAAAATGTTATACGTATAAAATATTTTATGTCTAAATAGTAGTTTGTCTCTCGACCATACTTTACATACGTTTTTCAACCGACCTCCCGAGGATGGATGAAAACTGGAACTTTGCAACGTTCCGGTGGTGAACTTGGAGGACGGTGAGGCAACTCTCGGGCCGAAATAATATTCGCCGATCAATCGTTTGATTTCTTGCGAGTAGTATCTTTCGCTAATGTCTCGTTTCATCTGCAGCTCCTTCAGCCTTTGTAATTTTTGCATCGCGGTTACCGCCTCTGGCATATTCAGCTCCGAGTAATCGTTGAATCGTTGGTATCTCTCACGAAGCGTGGCGTGGTTACTCTTTGGCAGCACTTTGCCGTAAACCGGTTCATTCGGGTATGGATTATATATCTATACAAACAAATTTTCCGCCTGGTGAAATTGCAATGGACGAAAGCTTCGAATAAAAATTCCCACCGCTCGTTTAAACGAATCGTAATTTCTTTTCGATTCATAGGTCGAACAGATTAAAAATCGTTGGTCCATGCTTAACACAGGGATAACAAGAACACACGAGAATCGTAGAAATCTAATTTCGTGTTCAATTTCTACTTAATTGCATAAATATAAACAGAAGGGAAAACCACTCGCCTGTACAATACCAAAAATTTCATTTTTGGCACTTACAATGTCTCGCGTTCTTACGTCATATAATTCGATTTATAAATACGCAACGATGCTAAAATAAACGCCGTTTAATCATACGTTGTTTTTATTAATGCCAGGTTCCTCAATCTCGGAGACACTTTCCACGGAAGATCTCTCTTCTGGTAATCGGATATCGTGCTCGCTGTTGTAAGCCTCTTGATAAGCGTTCGAAGTACTATAACGTGGCAAATTATGGTGTATTTCTCTATGCGACGATGTTTCCCGATGATTGTCCATTTCGCTTTGAAGGTACCTTCGATTATAGCTTCGATTATAGCGTTACATAATATTACACGGTAAAATTACTAAATAAATATATATGTAATAAGAGACGTAAATAGAATGTAAATAGAAACAAAGGAGATAAAAATAAAGAAATATACGATGAAAAAAGAAAAAATAATTACGATGATATTAGTTTCGAAGAAAATTCGTAAGTTACAGCAGATGTAGAGGTTATTAGAGGAGGGAGATTACTCGTTGGATAGTTCGTTGCGAACACGATTCGAAGAGAAAGTTGCTATTTTAATTTATTCTGCGAAACACGTTGTCGAGAGATGCATAGCGCTTTTGTGCATTATTACACAGAATTTGATGTACTATATTATTTTCTAGTTCTACGTAATTTGTCCGTCTTCCATACTGCGAGCAGGCTGACTGAGTTCCTCGAGCAACTTCAAGGTTTTAGATATTTCTGAATGTCTTCGAATATTTCGATATTATTTATTTCTGCGAGGAAAGGGACATTACGTATTTCTGTGAAATAAGAACGCTCTTTTACACGTATCGGCAATAGGAGTGAAAAAATGGAAATAAATTAATTTTCGCGAGTATTTTCTGGCGATCGCGTTAAACGTATTCGAGAATTGGATCCGGATGGAATATCGTTTATTGAACACAGCGATACAATTAATTTCTACAAGGCAGCTGCCGCCCAAGCTGGTGCACTATCGTGTTTTTGATGAATGTTGTATTTTAGAATCGATTGACCTAGTTTACTGATAGTATCTTGGTATTCCGATCGCCACGGAAGTAATCGCGTTTCCTGCGATTCGTCTTCAGCCCCGGCCACTCTCTTCGACCGCCTCTTTCCTATTTTGTCTCTGTCATCTCCACTAGATACTTTCGATAGCTTAGCTCGAGTAGAGGGTCGACAGTCTATGTCCTTTGTTTCTTCTTGTCTGATACCACAGAGAGCCCCCGTAGAGATATCCTCCATTGGCGCGGCTGTTGTAACATCGAACGACGATTCAGAAAATTTGTTTTCCGATAACACCGAAAGTAACGCACGGCGCGTTCGTAGGAAATAAAATAGAACGTATCAGGTATAGACTTTCGAATTACAAGATATTTTACAAATTCTTCAGCTGGATCAGAGTTTCTACGTTTTTATCTCGACCGACGATTACGTCCTGCGGAATTATACGCGTATATATTCTTGGTTGCGTTCTCGAAAAAACTCACCTTTGTCGGAATAATCCAACTGGTATGTTGTCTTCAGTCGATCTTCGTCAACGCGTTTAATTACTTCGTCGATAGGAGTACTCTGTAGAACTCCATAGAGATTAGGATGTTTCTCTTCCAACTGAAACGAGCGTCTCGACGTAATGCGATCGTAAGGCGATTTACACCATTATTGGGTTTACCTTTCTCATGTACGTGGCTGGTTGATCGAATCTCGTGGCTTCGGTTTCCGGATGCGGTCCCGTTTTTGCAGGATAAAGCTTCGGGTCCAGAAGCCGCCCCATGGGACCCGTGCGACTCCAGTCGTAATCGTCCCCGCAACGTACCAGCGGCTTTATCTCTCGTGGACGATCGTGGCATTTACAAGAAGCATATTCGCTTAGCGAAGTTATCTTGCGTTTGTACCTGGTCGAGGGCCACGTGTAATCCTTTTTATACGTCGTAAGGTATCGGGCCATAGCGCGTTCACCTCTTATTTTCCAGCGGTGATTTTATTTTTGAATCGATGGTTCATTATAGACTTTTTATATCTCACATTTTTCATATCAGTCTAATTTCGACGAAAGGTATATATTTCGTGAGTCATGCGTGTTATAATTAAATTTCGCGTCGAATCTTTTCGTACCAGGCCATCCCATAAAAAGTATCATCCGTTGTTTTACTAGTTCGAATTTCGAAGGTAAAATCAAGTGGCAATTGCCGAAATTTACGATCAACAATTACGATCAAAGTTAGAAAGATCGTAGATAGTATTAATACGGAATAATCGTTTGATCGTGACGATGTTCGGTTTCGCTTACATCTTCGTTCAGTCGCGATATCTACGATTAACCCCCATATCTTGCGTATATTTGCTTACTAGAATTTCTTTCAGAGATTATCGAACGATCCAACGTTACTCCGTCGTTTGTATCTGAGCGTGTGTTTCGTTGACTAATGGTTTTATCTTAATCATCGTAGTGTTTTATGGTACATGTTTTGGTCGATGTTAATCGGCGGAAAATTTACGGACAAAGTCGACAGAATTTGATCGGTTAAGCAGCAAAGTTCTGGCAGCGAAGGGGAACCATTGGCGACATTCAGGCGTTTTCATCGTTCCCGAACGTCGTAACAGTCGTAACAGTTAGCGACCCGAAAGTTCACTAATTTTGCCAGTTCAAACAAACGGCCGCAGCGGTCGTACAACTCCCGTCTGGAGAACGGTGTCGGCGCGTGCGATTTTAAGTTGCAACGTCCGCTGTGCAAATAAACTTTGCCCAATAAATAGTCGTAGACTACGATACTGTTCACGCGTTTACGTGCAATCGCAAACAAAGATGCCACACAACATGGCACCGTTCGTTTAAGATTATTGTGTTTGGCGTAGTGCCACTTTCAATAGAAGTTATCCATTTTCCAGGTCAATATTTCAGTCCGACCGAATCACATCGAAAAGAGAAAAAAGAAAAAAGATATTCTTCTATGTTCTTTCGTCTTACGGACGAGTCTATCGGAGAACTTTCTTCTCGTTGTCGTTTCTTTTCTCTTATATCGTTCCAACGTGAGATACTCGATATTCGTATTTTCCTTTTTACCAAATTCCTCTTTAATTACGATTATTTTGTACATTAGAGACGGCTGCGCGGCATTAATCTTATTCTCACCCCTACCTTTTCTATCGCGATTGGCCCGGCTCCAAGACCAACAGATAGTTCAATGTAGACTCTAGACACAGGCTACCGACTTCAATCGACGGTACAACCAAAGTCGTGCTCGCTTTATTTAGAGATACATCAATTCGAAAGTTCGGTCACTCTGCTTCCGGAATCCGCGCTGTCTTCTCCGTCCCGGGGACAGACAAACGAATGGATTCCGTTCGAATCACGGCACTCATTCTGCCCAGACAGTGACATACAACTTGCCTCATCGGGATACCTTAAGCTTTCCTTTGATCCTAGCCTCCGTATAAATTACTCTCGTTGTAAATTAATTCGAAGAATTAATATAAAACTATTCTGTTCGCATCTTTCTTACGACTCGTGCCTTATTTTTCACCTATGCGAATGTATCCAGCTTTTTAATGTTTCAATGTTTCTATAAGTTCCGAGGAGACGTTAAGTTAGTAGAACGTCTCCGAAATAATATTCGACGTTAATTTAACAAACGTTAGATCCTCGGACGACGTATCCATCTCGGACGATGCATCTCCTGTTTCGATTTAGCGAAACGATGATGTCACAGGCTATCGAACGCCCAGACGACGAAATAATCGGTCGAAACGAATCATCCTTGTCGTCTTCGTTCATCTTTTGGCAAAACGTTCGGTCCCGTAGGAAGGAAAGCTCGGAAACGGACTGTACTACCGATGGTTGCTCTAAAGATATCGCTGCGTCCACGCGGCCAGGAATAGAACCGTGACGTCGTTGTTCGTCGACGAACGAATACTAACTCTTCGGTTCGTCGTACACCGACAGTTAGCCAATGCGATACGCTTCGAGGTCGACGATGAACACGATCCTACGAATGCCATCCCGTGCTTCTGATTTTCTTCCAAACGCTTCCTACTTTTCCTCTGATTACGCTACGATTCCAAGTTTTACGAAAACTTTCGGTCTCGATCGATCTCTCAGCAGTCGTGTGCTTTAACGTCTCGATCTTGTCTCGTGATCTTGGAATTTATTATTTATACTCATCTAGATTCGGTAATCAAAGAAATTTAAGAACACGCGTTTAACAGAGCAGACTTTATTTCCTCTGTCGCAAGAAGGTGTCCCCTTCCCATTGCAAATTGTTACGTTCGTAAGCGTAATTCAGGTCGACGAGTCGAATTATACTCGTTCAAGCGTCCTTACAGAGGACGCTTTGATGAAAATTTACATTTTACAGCGAAAGTATCGCTTTCAACATCCGTATCGATTTTGTAGCTTCTTTTCTTTTCTCAACGATTGCTACAAGTCCTTTCGATCTTAGATTCTGTCCTTCTTTGACAACCTTGTCCGTGTAGTCGCCAGCGTTTTTGCTTAGTTCGGCGATTAGAGGTAGCGATAATCGGATACGAAACTCATAAACGTAATTACAGATATGAGATACGATGTCTCTGGACGACAAAGAATCTTTCCTACAAACACGAAAGCGAAAACCTTACTACAAGTAAGTGGTAGAAGTAGAGGTTTTTTAGTACGAAAGAAAGATCAAATTCAGACACCAGCAACTGATAATTTATCGGCAAACCGTGCTTCTTCGTTCCGTGGCTTAATTTCCCGGTTTGCAAGCTCGAAAAGGCAGACTGAAGGAAAAGGGTGTGAAAAGTAAAAGAATAACAGGGGGACGACACCGGCGCTTACATAGCCGATAAAAATCGTTGACAAGAGCCGGACCGTAAATTTCTTAGCGGAAAGAATTATCGCTGTCGGATAAAGACGACCAGGCAACAACGAAGATCTGACCAAAAGCGCACGTGGAGAACACGAAGTCGCGGAGAAACGCGGCGTTACTGACGCCATTAAGTTACTCGCTTTTCGTTTCTTCGATTTTTGAAGTGCCGCGTTCCCGAGTGCTACGGTGTGGTGACTCAAGCACAAGGGAAAAAAGAGTCGATGGACTGGCATGGAGAACGCCGTCTGACTCGAAAGAACTCGCTGACAAAGAGACTCGCTGCAGCTTGCTTCAAATTAATCCGTGTATTATTTTCTACTTGTTCTCCGGGGCTTTTCGACCCTGAAGCGCCGCGTTTCGTGTCTTTTCTCGCATTCTTCCCACGAATTCTTTGCTCCTATCGAACTTCCAAAATGAACCTCTATCTTCTATCATGAAACTAAATATTTCGCACATTCTTCTTTCTCTATGTATGTTATTCGATAAATTAACCTGTCGACAGATTTTTCTGACACTTTTCGTTAATACCGTAAACAGATATCACAAACAGATTGGTTCTTCGGACGAAATAAAGGGTTAGTTCGCTTACATAACTGCCTCTCGTATCTATATCGAGAGCGAAAGGGGTGATTCAGAGCGGATCGACGGGAGGTCGTGGTACGCTAGAGAAGGACCGTATTCCAAGTATGAGGGCGTCGTTAATCAGACGTGACGCATCTTCCAGAAATCCGTGCAATTGGAAAACTAAAATCGTATAGAAACAAGACGGATAGTGGTCTGGTCGACTGTCGCCTACTCATCTCTCCGCAGCAGGAAGCAGACCAACTCCATCGAAATAGCTCGAAACCCATTAGCATTCATTAGTGCGTTAGTGCCTCTGTCCTCCTTCCAACCACCAAATATTATCTTTTATATACTCGAAGGGGAATGAATGATACTAAAGAGCGATACGAGCAATTGCGAAGAAGCAAACGATCCTCGCAAACTTATCAACTCGCAGCTTTTCGCAGCTCGTATTTTTCAGCTGACCATCGGTCGCCCGTCGTATCATCTCGGATTTCGTCAAAGATTTCGCTCTTTACGAAGACAGATTGCGCGGCTGTTGCGTTAAATAAAAAATCGCGTCCGAGTGGGAAACAATCGCGATCGACTGCCTTCATATTTTCGTTTCGTTTCGAAACATATTCGTTTTTATTTCAAGGAACTCGTACCTTCTCGTCGTGTCGTTTCACCCTCGATCGAAGACTTCGCTGCTCGTACACGTTGCCCCAGGCAGACAAATTGGGCGGGTGCGGCGTTAAATTAAAAATCATTCGCGTTTTACACGCGGACAACGGGTAACGGGAGGAGTCAGGCGAGTCTCATTAAATTTATACCGACGTTCGCATTCCTGTCCGGCGACGTAGCACCCAATTAAACGTTTGATATAGGGTGGGTCCCCGTGTTTTGACTTTCGACCGGCATCGTGTCCGCGCGACACTGCCGCCACCGGCAAAAATAATCCGCGTTCGAAGGGGACTCACCGGAGAAGGGAATTCGCGACGGAGGTTCGCGGAACCAGGCGCGATTCCCCTTTCGTACAAAGCGCGAGAAATTACGGCCACAGTGGCAAAGCTTGTGCACGCCAAGGCCGCCCTTTTTCTTCAGCCTTCTTAACGACGTCGTTACGCGTCCTTCTTCCTTCCAGCGATGGTTTTATCACTGCCGGGCAGTTAAGCGATTTATTCCTCTTACAGCCTCTTGCTTATTCCTCTAATTTGCTTTCGTAAACGTTTAGTGGGTAAATTTTGTCGATTAGTCAGATTGGAGAATCGTTCGTTAGTCACCTTAGCGTCGTTGGTTTACGGGCTTGGACTCGGATCGTTTTTACTCGGACGCTTCTATCGCGATTTTACGAGTCACGATGCTTCTTTGTTTCTTTTTAATTTGTTAGTCGGTTCGTGCTACTCTTTTCCTATCAACGATAGATACGACAGAGTTTTAGGTTGATCGTGATCCTTGAAAGGGCAGACGATACGATGTATTCTTGGCGTATAAAGGCAAGAGATTATAACATTGGACTAAGAAGATAGATTAGAAATATTTTATATAATGGTTTTGTAAATATCAGCTATAACACAGTGAGTAAGAAATAAATTTCAGAACTTTGGATTATTAATTTCTCGCGTTTCTCAATTTCTCTCTCTCTCTCTCTCTCCCTTCTTCGTTGGATCGTCGTCTCGTACGGATCGTCAAGACGAATCGCTGCTATTATTGTTATTTAGGATAAGAATTACGTTTGTTTCTCACGATAAAACGTTTACTCCGATGTTCTCGAATTTGTCGTCGGGTTTGAACACGACGCTTCTTTAATATCATTTGATTTAGAGGGACGCCAGGCCTCGCCAGAGAATCGAGAATGCGATCCGATGGTCAAAATTTCGGCATAAAGTAACACCGAGGATCAGCCGCAGCCTTTTCTCTGAACGTAAAACGACTACTTGATATCGTTACGGGCGATCGTGCCGTCAAATTAATTCGTCGTGATTCCTGTTTTTCAACCGTGTTTCTTTCGCGTTTTCAGTACCGCGCGAGATGTTCGAGATTCATGCGCGTAAACGTCGGTCTTTCAAACTCTCTTCTCCCCTTCGATTCAATTTTTCCCGCGAATAACGACTGCCAACGTGCGTTTCTCTTCCCAACAACGAAACATCGTGTTACAAATAATTGCGTTGCACACGGACATTTCATATTCTTTTTATCACCGTTTCCTCCGTAAATATCTTTATATAGTAAAATGGTAAGAAAGGAGAGCTAAAGGGTAGTCAGGTTTTTAAGGCCGGTGTCTCAGTTACATTATGGCAACATTATTCTAGGATACGCTAACATGGCAGAACTGCTTCCGTAGAAAGTAGCGTTAGATATTCTTGGCACGTACTGCCCTTATTGGGACAACGAACTGAAATGATTCCTGGAACATTATGAAAGTGTTGACGAACGATCGTCAAGATCGCGCTTCAGATAAATACGATGAAATAATATGATATAATAATATTTACAATTTGTTTGTCAACCTTTCGATTTATTTGTTGGTAATTTAGATATTTAATACACACACATACACACATACACGCGCGCGCGCGTTTTACCATATAACTTGATTATCTTTTCTTAACCAAACCATACTTCTCAGAATCTATTTCGAATTTTTAGTTTCCGTAATATTATCAAGGTTTTCTTCCAAGTAATCCTAACTTCATCGAGGAAGTTAATTTTCAGGAACGATTCTTGCTTTTCGCACGATCGTTTAGAACGTTCACCGTTTCACAAAATATCTTCGAATTTCGTCGCTTTTCTTGCGACTAGCGAACTGATTCAGTTTCTTTGTTCGAGGAAACACTACTCGGTTGGTGTGAGGACACCGATGTAAGCCGGTTCAAAATCCCTGGAATACGAGTTCGATGCCGGTGTAGCATTTTTGGATTTCGAGGAACATCCAAGATCAAGCATAGGCGCGACTGTATGCAAACTCCCTTTCGAAATCTCTTCCTTTCAAATGGACCATTATTCGGTGAACGAACATCGTTCGACGAATAACGTGTTCTCGCGGAACCAGGGTTATTGTCCCAGCGTGTCGCGATTATTTCAACAATGATCAAAGTCACGTGAAATAAGATTCTGGTTAGAGAAAATGGAGGATCGATCTTCGAACGTGGCTCGTTTCCACGAGACGATCGTTTATCTTGGACAGTTAGTTAGGCTTTTTAATTTTAGATAGATTCTATGAATTTTGAAGAACCATGAAAACCAAGCTTAATCTGTACGTTTTAAATTATCGATATTAGGGTCTCCTAAAGTTTATCTCTTTCTTAAATCCTTGTTTATCGGGACATTAAATTATTATTATTATGATTATTATTATTATTATTATAGTTGTTTCAGCGTTTTCTATTTATGGATCATATATATAAATTTCGGTACTCGTCGTAATACTCGAGAGACTAAATCCTCGATAATAAGACGATAAAATTACCTTATTACTCGCGCTGTGCCCACTTTCCAGCCACGAAGATATCGTTTTAGAAACGTTTGAAAGCGGAAGACTCGATTAATAGAGAACTATCCGAGCGTCGAAAGATTCCCTTCCAATGGAAAATCGATTCTTCGATTTGTTCGACTTCTCGTTGTTCCGTTCTTCGTCTACGAACTATCGTCAGAAAAACGCGGCATCGTTGCTTCGAAAGCACCAAGGGAACGAGTTAAATACCCGAAACACAATGTGCAACTTGCTTAATTAACGGCTGCAACGCTGCTTATTCTACGCGAAGTCGTACAATTTTTCAATTTAATTAGGCGTGCGTCTGTCGACAAATCGACTGGGATCGCGTTACAAACGGACTTGCCAAAATCCTCGTTAACAACCTGCTAGTTAGCGCGATGATGCTTGACGATAATCCATCGCATTCCTTCGCGCAGGAAAGTAAGGAAAATAAAAGATAAGCAAGGAAAAGGAAAACGGGTTTGCTCGTGCGTTCTTCGTCAACGCGTATAGACACACGAGGTGTTTCGTTATTTATACAGTCGTGACATTTTCCGTTTCGATCCCTCTAGCATTCGCCGACAGGTTGACGCTTCGCGCGTCTTCCGTCGCGCTTAACGTCTGCCAAAAAGCTCGCCTAACCGTGCTGCCAGTTTACACGAGATAACGCGCAGCGGGCGTACCAACGGCAAACTCCATTATAGAACGCTATTTCTATATTCTCATTATAATTAGACTGTTTCTAAATATGGACGTTTAAATGCAACCACCATGTGTAACGCAAGTATTTCCATGACGAATGAAATTCACTCGTTAACGTTGCTCGCTAGACAGCCGAGCTTAATCGCGATGCTTGCTTGCTTGCGCTATTCTGATTGGCCAACGTTTGTCGTCTGATATATGCTTTACGTATATATACATATACACGTATACACGTTATACAATTGCCTGGTGAAATATCGTAGTAGGTGATAGATAGATAGTATAGATATCGATGCATCGATTTAAAGGAAATAATCGAATATGTTACGAACAGATCGACTTATATCCGTACATTCCTCTTAAACGTACAGATAGATTTTACAATTTCAATAAATGAATCGATTTCATTCATCTATGTGGATCGAATATCTTTTACTCTTTTTGATGCATATCGGTGAATATTCCAAGTATATAGTATATAGTAAAAGATGTAGGAAAATTGCGCGAATGAAGGAAATGTTTGCGAACGATGTTAGCGATCCGTGTTTCGTGTCTTTTCATAGTAGTAAAGAAACGAGAAATTTTGTTCATGCGCAAAATTTGAAACAGCGTGATCTTTCTTTTTTTTTCTTTTTTTTGTTGTCGAAACGAGCGATTTTTCGTGAAAAAAGTCGAATCACGTTCTTGTTTCTTTAGAAGAAGTTTGGTGGCTCTCGTTCATTGCCTTTTAGTCGCAAGTAAACGATCCCGAAATCGCTCGTAGTTTGTAGAATCACGCGGCCATCGTCATCTTGACACTCATCGCGTTTCGTCGCGTGAATCCGAGGTCTGCCAAGAAACCCGATGACACAGTAATCGGCACAGGGTTCGACCAGTGACTCGTTATCGTGCAACATGTAGATGTAGGTCGTTAGTTTTATTTCCAATCGACTACCGCGTTGGTCGAAACAATTGATATAGAACGATCGATAAACAATTGTGTATCGTTTAACGAATATCGTGTTCGCTACGATACGTCCGATGCGTAGTTTTGCGTACAATTTTTTAGAAAGCTGTATTTGCCAGCAATTTTACATTTTTTATGTCCTTTACATTTTACAATATAACGTTTAGCGTAGTTTAATACACGATCATCTAACATCGTACAACTTTCGTTTATAATTACGTTCTTTTTCTAAATAAATTTCCAACGAAAACGGAAAAGAACAACACGAGTCACGTTGATTCTACCTTGTTATCGAACAATCGATATTACACGCCAAACTTTCAAATTATCTACGACTATTGTATAATAGGATAACATCATACACGAAATCATCGTCAAATTCTAAAATGAAATTACTACGTATAGAAAAGAATCGTACACTCGGCCACGGAAGCAAAGTATTATTTTCATTTTAATTATCGATCGATCGTCTCACCAACAATTTTTTTCACATCGATCAATTTTTTTTTTTTAGCTCGGATCTATCGATCTAGTAACTACGTACATATCCAACGTTCGGAACACCTAACACGTGGTATTTTGCAAAAACGAAATGTCAACGATACCAACCCGTCGTAAATTATCGATCGAAATACGCAAACTTTTCTTCCCTACACGAACAACGAAAAGAAACATCCAAAGTTAATAAAATAGAAAGGAAAAAGGAAGCCAGTGGTCAGCACGCGTTTCGCTACTCAACGAGCCTTTTTCGCGAAACTCGATCGTTCCTCGGGGTTGAACTCCCTCCGGCTCCGTTATAACGCGTCATCCTTTACTCGCTACGAGCGCGGTAAAAGGAGAAAACGTTCCAGCTAGCGGCCGGGAAGTTTCTTCCATGGAAACCAGCGACAGTTCTCGGTTGACACTTGCCACGGTCTGCCAAGAAGCCCGATTACACGATATCGGCGCTCGTGCGCGTCGTTTACGAGCGTGTGCCGCAGGACGGTCGCCCGAGTTGGAAGGACAGCGGTTTTAAAATAAGCTCACGAGAGTCCCAGCGCTCTGCCAATGCCTATCGGTCCAACCAGTCGGTGCGCGCTCTCCTTTTCAGCAGTCGTTGATCGTGCACCGTCCTCGCAACAACCGTCGTCGTCGTCGTAGCCTTCGTCGTCCGGCCACTTGTCGTCACCGTACCAGTTGTCGTCGTTGTTCCGAC